AGAAAAAAGCAATCAAAAAGGCCTCCACAATATGGAAAGATCAATCAGATCCCATAACAAGTAGTCCTGAGATAGGGCAGATCTAGTACTGCAGAACTTTGTGACGGATCAGTAAGGACCAAGTCTCCTTGTCATGTTTTCAGACACAGCTGCTGTCATGGTCACAAGTTGGCTACCTTCTTTCTAGGTGTCATATCCAGACTTGCAGTGTCCAGTGGGCAAAACAGGGATCATATCTTCCCTATGACTCTAAAGGTGAAAAGCCTGTATCAGAAGTCCTCCAGCAAACTTCTCATCTCTCAATTTTTTTCTAAAGATTTTATTTATTTACTCATGAGAGACACAGAGAGAGAGAGAGGCAGAGACACAGGCAGAGGGAAAAGCAGGCTCCACGTAGGGAGCCTGACATGGGACTTGATCCCGGGTCTTCAGGATCACGCCCTGGGCTGAAGGTGGCGCTAAACCGCTGAGCCACCTGGGCTGCCCACAAACTTCGAATCTCATGGGCCATCATGGTCCCATGCCCACCCCTCAGGCAATCCCCAGTAGAGAAGTGTGATGACCAGAATTACTCAAGGTTTTGAAACCATCTAAATCCATACCCTCATTGTAAAGGGGAGATGGAATGGCTTGCCACTCTCTCAGGATCAATCACTGGCTCTACAGGACCACCCAGACCTCTTAGATTCCCATCAGGTGCTGCTCATTGGCTACCTCCTCCTAGAGAGGATGCTTCTGTTCCAGAGGACGCTGACTGGGAAGTTTTGGGGAGGGTAGATGAGGGAGAAGTGGAAGAGACTGCCAGCCTCAAAGTGGTTGGAGGCAGCAAGAAGAGGCCTGGTTGCTTTACAAAGTTCTTAGGATGAGAAGCTCTGACCCTCAGGGCCTGCTATGCTAGACTAGCCAGACTTTCAGAATGGAAGAATTCTTGGAAAACTCTTAGTTACCAAGCAACTGAGTCAATCCCTTAAGAACCCATAGTAGGTGGGATGCCTGGGTGGCTCAGTGGCTGAGCATCTACTTGTGGCTCAGGTCGTGATCCCGGGGTCCTGGGATCAAGTCCAGCATCAGGCTTCCCGCAGGGAGCCTGCTTCTCCTTCTGCCTATGTCTCTCTGCCCCTCTCTCTGTGTCTCTTGTGAATAAATAAATAAAATCTTTAAAAAAAAAAGAACTCATAATAGAGGAACTAAATATCTTTTTATTTGCTGGAGGTAAGAAGGCAGGAAGAAAGAAATGAAGGGAAGAAGGGAGAAAAAAAAGAAACCCACTAAAAAATTTTTACACAGGCAGCCCGGGTGGCTCAGCGGTTTAGTGCTGCCTTCAGCCCAGGGTGTGATCCTGGAAACCCGGGATGGTGTCCCATGTCGGGCTCCTCGCATGGAGCCTGCTTCTTCCTCTGCCCCTCTCCCTCTCAGTGTCTCTCATGAATAAACAAAATCTTTAAAAAAAATTTTACATGGAATTATTTACATATAATATTTTACATATGCTAGTAGGAACACTGGCCTTGAACTCAAATATCTGAACCTCCACTTAGAAGCTGTGTGACCTTGGGCAAAGCTTCCTTAACCTCTGTGGCTTCAAGGGGAGGGAATCTTGTAAGGATAAAAAGAAGAAATTGGTGTGAAAGCACATGATGTATAACAGACTTAATAGATGATGGCTGAAGCGGAGACTTTTGTTTCATATCTGAAAGGGGAGAACAACTGGGCGATTCTTCCCCAATAATGCAGAACCTGAGCAGAGTCCCAAAGCCCTCCCCCTTCTCCGGGAGCCTTAGCTCACTTTGCCACCAGATTTTGCAGACCCGGTGCAGAGCATGCTGCCATCTGCCGGGAAGAAGGAGGAAGTGAACTCCAAAGCATCCCTTCACACCAGGCCATTATGAGGAGCAACCTGGAAAAAAGAGAAGCATCTGGGCCCAATTTCCCTTCCTCTCTGCTGTGATTCTCTTATCCCTTAAGACAGGAAGGGCTCTCATCATTGGTCAACAACTTATGGCAAAATAAGATTTAAGTTTTTCTTTTTGAAAGGGGTATGATATTATTCAGCCTTAAAAAGGAAGAACATTCTGACACATGTTACAATGTGAACGAAACTTGAGGACAGTTAACGTTAAATGAGGTAAGCCAGTCATAAAAAGACACATACCATATGATACCATTTTTACGAGGTATCTAAAGGAGTCAAATTCATAGAAATAGAAAGTAGAATGGTAGTTGGCAGGGGCTGGGGAGGAGGAACCAGGGAGTTGTTTAATGCATAGCATTCCAGCTTTGCAAGATGAAAAGTTCTGGAGGAGACACCTGGGTGGCTCAGCAGTTGAGCGCCTGCCTTCAGCTCAGGGCATGATCCTGGGGTCTGGGATTGAATCCCGCATCCTTCTCCCTGTGAGGAGCCCGGAACTCTTCCTATGTCTCTGATTCTCTCTGTGTCTCTCATAAATAAACTAAATAGGGCAGCCCTAGTGGCTCAGTGGTTTAGTGCCGCCTTCAGCCCAGGGTGTGATCCTGGAGACCCAGGATCGAGTCCCACGTCGGGCGCCCTGCATGGAGCCTGCATCTCCCTCTGCCTGTATCTCTGCTTCTCTCTCCTCTCTGTGTATTCTCATGAATAAATAAATACAATTTAAAAAAAAATAAACTAAATAAAATATTTTAGAAAACCCCTAAAAGTTCTGGAGATGGTTGCACAACTAGATCCTAGGATCGAGCCCTGAATTGGGCTCCCTGCTCAGTGGGGAGTCTGCTTCTCTTCTTCTCAAATAAATAAATAAATAAATAAAACCTTTTGAAAAATGGTCAAAATGGTGACTTTTTATGTTAGGTATATTTTACCACAGTGAAAAAAATAACAGTAAGTGATAGAGATAATAAGCACATGGTAGGCACTTGACTTCGTGCAATGGAATCCCAATAAACATTTGTGGATGAAGATGGAAAGAAGTGATGCTGACAGACGGTCTCAGACATCAGGGTGAACATGAGAATGGACATCTTTCCTTCCCCCCAGGATGGCCTTCCAAGTAGTGAAATTAGTTACACCTGCCTTCTCTTTGAGGTGATAAATTAGTTTTCCTGTTCTCATCTAAACACTAAAATTTGGGATCCCTGGGTGGCGCAGCGGTTTGGCGCCTGCCTTTGGCCCAGGGTGTGATCCTGGAGACCCGGGATCGAATCACACGTCGGGCTCCCGGTGCATGGAGCCTGCTTCTCCCTCTGCCTGTGTCTCTGCCTCTCCCTCTGTGTGTGACTATCATAAAAATAAATAAATAAATAAATAAAATAAAATTCAGAAAAAAATAATAAAAATAAACACTAAAATTTAAAAATAAATAAATACACACTAAAATTTTCTGGCGCATGACCTCAAGTTCAACCTGAGCCAGAGCATCCTTCCTCCCTGAGAACTGTATTTCTGTGATCAGCACTGGCAGTGGCAGCCACGTTTTGTTCATCCCAGGGCTGCAGGGTCCCAGTTTATAGAACTTGAGAACTATAAAGGCTCTGAGCAGCCTCATGAGATTTAAGAGATTTATCTCCTACCTAATAAAAATACATACATATAAAAATATTTTAAATAGTGACTTATTAAAAGTTGCAGAGCTGAGACCTGAACTTTCACCATCAGAGACACTCCCACCCCACCCTCACAGCAACAAGCAGCATGTGGGACAAGTTCCTTCCCTTTTCTCGTGACAGGGTTACTGCTCTGCTAGAGAAAAGGTTCTCCTGTGGTCAGTGACATCCCAAGGCCCATGAGCCACAGTTTTTGCCTGGGTAACAGGACAGGTTGGGTCTGTTCTAGGCAGGACCCTCAGCCTAGAGGCAGGGATCAGATCCTGCAGGAGAAGCAAGGCAGGGTGCAGCAGGTGAGCCCCCAAATGCACTGTCGGTTAGCTCCAGCTTTGCAATCTCCTGGAGCCCCTGAGGTGGAGCCTCCTGACTTTGAGCAGCCCTGTCTCAACCCAACTTCTCTGCCTGGTCAGAGTCTCACCCAGAAGCAAAGCCAGAACACTCCTTGCTCACCAGGGGTATGTGAAGTAAAAGAAGTAACTGCCCCCCAAGTCCAAGCCATAAGGTTTCTAGCTTTGGAAAGCCCTTGCAGCAGCCTGGGAGTCGGAGCATCCCCATCCTGGCTCCTCACAGAAGCACCAGATTCCCCAGGGGCTGCTGGCCTTTATCTGAGGGCTTCAGAGCAGCCCCTTTTGTCTGGTGGTTTTAATGACTACCTTCCATTTAGACCAACTATGACACAGACTGCTTCTCTGTGACTCAAGCAAGTCTCTGCTCCACCATCATCATTCACTGGGGGCTCCAAATTTTACTCAGATGGTACTTGACCACCCGCAGGCCACTGCGTGGGATACGATGGGGGGAGGGGGTGGCAGTGACATCCCTCCAGAGATAAATACAGTCAGTGGATCCTTCCCAGGAGCTGGCAGCTGGGCAGTGGGTCAGCTCCTGAGTGTTTTACGGATCTCTGACCTCACCCATTAACATACTGTTGGGGAACAGCATTACAACCATCCGGTCATTACCATTTCTTACTCTCTTATGGGATTACAAAACAAAAAGCATACACTTCTCCTCAGCAGAGAAGGCATGCTGTCAATTTCCAGTGGGAATACTGAAGCCAGCAAGCCGTAAAACCAGATGTCCTTTGCTTCCCTGAGGCTATTCCCACTCATGAAGTCTGCTCCTTTTGGTCACTGCTCAAATCAGAATAAAATCAAGCTGATAGTGCTGTTACATGAGGCCGACCAGGATCTCAGGGTGGGAACACAGACTTTTTGGTTAATTATTAGGAAGCCTCTCCCAGGAGGTGTAGCAATCGGGAGTATTTCTTCACACTTAGAGAAACACACTTGCTTATTAAGACTACATGCAAGAGATTGTACAATTCCACATTTGGCCTGCAGGGGGAAACATGTCTCTAGCAATGATCACACCACCAGCGGTACTGCAGGAAACCCATTTAATTGGCCAAGGAGTATGGGTTCTGGTTTTTTTTTAAAAATCAGATCAATACATTTCCAATAAGTAATTTCCACTGTGATATACTTTCATATAGAGATATTGCTCTTTTACTATTTACAGTGTTAGGTACATAGTGAGCTTTCAACAAATAAATACTTACGGACTGATCAGTTGCTTGGAAATTACCCAGACTTGCCTGAGGCATAGAAAGTAGAGGGGGAAATGGGAGGAAAGGAACTAGGGATTGGTGAATGTTCACGGAAAAGCACTTCTTTTCAGGTTAATAGCTTGCCTGGGGGAAAAATGCATTTGAAAATTTCCAAAAGACTTTTCTCCAAGAACAAACCATTATCAACCTAATTCTTTAAAAACAAAACCAAAAAAATGGTAATCTTGATTTTATACATCTTTCTCCTAATTTCAAAGTCCATCCTATATACATGTTAGATAAGTGAGTTCCAAGTTTATGCAGGTTTCTACGTGTTTAAAGTTTTTACATTTAGACTTATCTCTTTTCAAATATATCAATTCTAAGTGCCTCTGCCCTGGACCCCCCCCCCCCCACTTCCCAATTGGAGCCCACCCAGGAGTCTAGCTGAGGCTCCCTTAGCTTCACCAGGCAGCCCTGAGCACAGAGCAGGGCACCACAAGCCTGGCCTGGGCTAGCTGTCCAGTAGACAGGCATGTGTTTTGAGGGGAGGCCAGCACCTCGCTGGGGCTTGCCCTGCAGTCATCTGTGTGCTGCTCAGACTGGGCTCCTGGCTCTGTTTGCCAAGCAGCAGAGGATCAGCACCTTTAATACCACCAGTGACCATGAGCAGCCTGATCCCAGGCAGATCCAACGTCCAGGCCCTGCATCTTCCAGGATCACATTGCTTCACTGGGTAAAGCCTCCGCAGTGAGAGGAGACAGCAAGGTGACCAAGCAGGGGCAGCTCAGAGGGAGACCTCTGCCATCCCACAGACCCACAGCACCACCACTGCCAGAGGCAGCTGCCTCCCTACCCAACCAGAAGTAAACAGTGCAGGGGGCAGGGCCTCCTTGTTCCACCCCTTAGGCTTACTACCGTCCTCTGGGAGAGCGCTCAGCATCACTGCTGGCCCCAGATCCCAGCCAGGGCGCTGGGCCCTCGGTACACAGTAGGAAGAATGTGGGGGTTAAGGGGCAGGGTCACATTCCCTCCAAGCCAGCTGAAGCTACAGGTGGATGATCTCACCTGAGGATGGAAGTGAGTGGGTAGCCTCTCAGCCAGGGCCCAACCTCAGGAAAGGAGGCACCATAGCATGTGTGGTATGCCACAAACCCAAAAGTCACTGTGTTAGGTCCCTCTCTTCCCTTCCCTACAATGTGGTAAAAGTGAGGGGCCTTGGCTGAGGGATGTGTATGGGCCTCAGAAGCAAAGAAAGTGTTAGAAACCTGGGGTGGGAGGGGAAGCAGGTGTCAAGGTGGGGAGGGGAGGCCTTTATACATGAAGACAGGCAAGCAGCATCACAGAGAGATGGGCACAACGGCTGTGGGCCCTGCCCACCCCATTCCCCAACCAAAATGTCTCCAAGCGCAGCCAGGCCCCTCCTGACCTCACCAGGGGAGCACCAGGTAACAACCAGGCAGCACCCAGCTTGGGCCTGATGGGCCCCGATATAAACCCAAGGATAGGGGCTGGGGTGGAGGTGAGGGAAGTGCCATCCCTGTCCTTTGAGGGTGAGGTGCAGCTCTGGCCCAGAGGGGAGCAGAGAGGTGCCAGGGGGAGTTAGATCCCCCCCTGGCACCCCTTCCCCCACCCAGCCACTGAGGAAAGACCTGGGGGGCAGGGGAGGAGCACCCATCACTTTCCACCCCGGGGAACCACGGAGGGGGCTCCTGGCTGGTTTGCCATGATGTGGTAGATGGATTCTCGGAAGCGCTGGTCCCGGCTGAGCCTCTTGGCCACCTCCTTCAGCTCCTCCATGTTGTTGGCATCCAGCTGGGAGGTCATGAAAGACTGGGACGGCTTCACTGGGGAGAGGGTGGCCGTGAGCGGCCCCTGGCTCGCCAAGGCTCGGCCGGTCCCCACCCCACGGGCTGCCGGGCTGCCGCAGCCACCGGCTCCCCGAATCCGGGGGGAAGCCCAGGCTGCTGGAGCCAGTCCCAGGCCGCCCCGTCCAGCCTCGGCGCTGGATCCGCGCCCCCCGCCCCCCCCCCGGCCCCGCCTGGGCGCCCACTCGGGCCGGGCGCGCCGCCAGCCGCAGCCGCACTCACTGTCGTTCCAGGAGGAGCTGGACCGGCGCCGGTGGAAGCGGCAGCTCTTGATGCGGCGAGTGGCCGCCTTGTGGATGTACACGGAGTTCTTCATGATGACCGGCATCTTGGCCTCCAGCTCGGCGTTGCGGATGCACTCCTCGAAGAACCCTGCGGCCGCAGTTGCGCGCTCTGCTCCCGCCGGCCGCGCGCGCCCCGCCCCGCGCCCCGCCCCCCGCGCCCCGCCCCCGCGCCCCGCGCCCCCCGCGTCCCCCGCTCCCGGCTCCAGCGGGGAGCGCGCCCACCCGCCCAGCAGGTTCCACTTCGAGAGCCGGGAGGAAGCCGCGCCCCGGCCGCGCCCGCCGCGGGAGCCCCGAGGGGAACCTCCCCGCGCAGCGCGGCCCACCTGCTGCGCACCCCGCCCCGGGCCCGGCGCTCGGGGGCTGGCCCCGGGGCGGCGGGGGGCAGGGCTTACTTTTCAGATGGCTCACGTCCGCGCGCATCCTCTCCTCCTTCTCCTTGTTCCGCACCTTGGAGTTGAGCCCTTGTTCCAGGCTTCTCAAGGCCCCCTCTGCCTCCCGCAGACGCCTCTCCAGGTCCATGCGGACCTTCACCTCGGCCTGAGGGCACCGGGAAGAGAGCCGCGAGTGGGCTCCTGGGGGGCCGTTGCCGTCGCCCCCCGAAGCCTTCCCTGATGGTGCCCCGCCTCAGGCCGGCTGGCTCGCCTCTGGGCTTGGATGGAAGTTACCACATCCTGCCTCGGTCCCCCGCCCGTGACCACAAGGCCTGGACTCAGCCCCTGCGTCTGGCAGGGGGCTCCCAATGCTGCCCCGCCCAAGCAGCACCCTCACTGCTTCCCCAAGTGGAGGCTCCATCAGGCTGGCAGTGGTAATTCAGGTAGTTGCAGGTAAGGAATGTGAGGGAAGGTTCCCGAACACAGGCCGCTGCCAGCAGGCCCAAGCCAGCACCTTGAGCTCCCGCTCGGCCTGCTGCTTCTCTGCGGTCAGCTCCTGCAGCGAGTTCTGCAAGGCCTGGGACTGGCTGGAGTAGAACTCCCGCTCTTCCTCCAGGGCCCGGGAGCGCTCCTCGTTCTCCTTCATCCTGCCGGGTGGGCGTGGAAGAGGTGTGCTCACTCACCTAGGGGGCTTTCCAGTGGGAGGGCAGCCCCTCCTAGACACCGGGCTGGAGAAACCCTGAGACCCAGGCTTCTTGAGCCTCAGAACTTTCAGGGTTCCGTCACCCAGGGGATGAGAGGGGGTGCTGTGGTCCGAAGTTAGAAGACTGGAGTCTTGGGTCCAGGTCTTCCTAGTTCTGTGACCTTAGGAAGGTCCTATCAACCCTCTGAGGTTGTTTCCTCCTTTGTACAAAGGAGCTATGAGGTCCTGCCCAGCCTGCCACAAAGCATCATTAGATGGACCTACTGCCTGTCTGTATGGTTCACACCAGTGCAAGGAGATAATGATCAAGTCAGCTACGGGTAGTGCAAGTTTTCTTCCCATTTGCCCGGTGGAGAAACTGAGTTCCAGGCAAAAGGAAGTAAGTGATCTATCTGGTCAATGCCAGCTAGAGCCTAAGAATCCGGGTATGCAGTTCAAGGAAAGTTATCAAACTAGATTCAGGGGTTGAAGGGCCTCTCACCGCTTCTCAGCCAGGAGCTTCTCTTCCAAGAGCTGCTGCATCTTCTCCTCTATCTGCCTCAGGTTGCTATGGAGACCCCCACTGGGAGGGGGCTGCTCACTCTGATTGGCCAGTGTCTGCAACTGGTTCTCATTCTCCTCCAGCATTGCCAGGGTTTTCTTCTTCTCTATGGAGAGTTCCTGGCATGGAAGGACAGAAGGAAGAGAAAGAACCTAATTTAGATTCTCTAACATGGCTGCCCTCACCTGCCTTTCGATTTCAGGAAAGGCTGCCCTCCTTACTCAATGTTCTAGAGACACCCGAAATATCTTCCTTCTTCCCTGAAGGTAAAAGGACAACCAAGATCTCCTTCTTTACAAAGAGGCAAGGTTACTCCTCCATTGAGGAACTTTGGGAGGCACCCAATGCAGCTTACAGTGGAGGTAGCACCTACTTCAACTGGGGCACAAGGGCTCCATGACCTTTGGGGGTCTTTGTTACTCTAGGGGTGAGTAATAGAGTGTGTTGGGCTCATATGAAAAACATCCAAGAGGAGCAAGCCCTAGAATAGATTTAGACATCCTCCCCTTTATCAGGCTGGGGTCTTGTGCTACCCCAAAATTCTGGAGTTGAAACGCTCCATGAGAACCATCTCCCATGGTGTGAAAATGAAAGATAAACAAATAAAATCACCACAAACAAAGCCCCACTCAGTGGAGAGAGAATAGAAACCCTGCAGCCTTAGGGCCCTAAAGCTCAGGGCAAACCCTTGCCTGGAAGAGTCAGGGAAGCTTGGCTATGGTGATGTTGGGGTTGAGTCTTAGAAGGATGGATGAGTCCTCAAGGCAGAGAAGAAGAGGAAGGACATTCTGTGTGAAAGGAACAGCATGGGGAAAGGTGTGGAGTCTGAAAGAGCTTGGCTTCCTCAGGGCACATGAGCTCAGTGGTTTGGAGTAAGGGTCAGAGTGTCTTTGTGCAGGGTGTGGAGGGGCAACCAAGGGAGAGTTGGGGAGGAGGGGCTGTGGATAGTTTGCACTTGGTCCTTGACACCTACCACCTTCTCCCTCCCTTTTACAGCTTCTGTGTATCAAATGGAGGTAACATGGCAGTTAATTTCCCTTTTTGCTCAGTTTCACCCAGGAGCAGCTAAGTGAATGACCCACAAGAAGGAAGAAATGGGGAGTCCCACCACCCACCCTAAATCAATCCTCCATCTGGTATAAAAATAGAAACACCAAAGAAGGTGTCACAGTCAGAGCAGGACAAACTTGAATTTGCCCCTCTGGATCCTGCTTCTGGCCTCCCATGCTCACTGGTCCACAGAGAAGAGACCCTTGAGATCAACTCCATCCTGCCCTGTTCTCCTTGCAGAGAACCCTCTGGGGAAATGCTGTATCATGTGGCCCAAACAACCTGCTTCCGGGTCAGCCAGCCCACTAGGGGCCCCTCACCTCCAGCGTCTGCTGCAAGGACTCCGTGAGGTGCCTCAGCTCCTTCTTCTCTTGCTCCACACCCTTGAGGCACCTTGCAGTTAGCTCTAGCTCCCTGCAGGGACAGAGGGCTGGGTATGGCAGTGCCCACCCCTCCCAATCCCCTCTGTACACAGAAATGCTTCGGCTTCACCTCCCCGATATGGCTCAGAGGGGTCCTTGCAAGGCCAGCCCCTCTCTGTGTGGCAGGGTCCTGATAGCAGCTGTAGGGACCTGGGGCTGAAAGAAGGAGATCCCAGCCAAGTGGGGTGGAAGTCACTTGTTCCAGGTACATATGCATCTGTCAGATGAACCCAGGACCACCCCACAGGTAGAGAAACACTAGAGAAACCAAGGGGGTCCTGGCCCCACCTCCTATCTTCCCCAGACAGAGCCTGCTAGAACCCCTACTCACTCTGACTTGGGACATGGCTGAGGCCTTTCTCTGGCGTGCCAATCCCCTTGCTGCTGTCTTAACAAGCCTGGGTCCCCTCACACGTTTACCTTTCTCCTCCTTGAAATGCCTTTATCTTTCCTCCTGCCCAATTTCCTAAATACTACCCATTCTTCAAGGCCCAGCTCAGTCAAACCTCTCTTAGTGCCCACAAGGATCACACGTATGCCTTAATTTCTATGACCCAGGGAGTCTGCACTATGCCTGATTATATGAGTGTGCTGATGTTTTCTGGGTGTGAGAATGGTTTTCCCAAACAGACTGTAAGATCCTGCATTGTAAGATAAGAGGGCTTATCTTCTATTCCAGTATCTGGTGCAATTCTGGGGATAAGCAGATGCTTGGCCATTTACTTGGTCAGATCCTCTGAGCTTCTCCCTCCTCAAAGTACTTGTCTAACTGACTTTGTTTTATAAGGTTGTTGCAAGAAAAGCTTTTCTGGGCTAACACTGATTATCAGTAGTGATGAGGAGGAGGAGGAGGGGGAGGAGGAAGACAGCGACAATCACCACCAACAACAGTACCCAGAGCCTTAGTCTCCAAATTCCTGGATAGGCTGACTCAGAGTGACCTGGAAAGCTTTTTGTAAAATATAGATCTCTGGGCTCTACCTTCTAGAGATTCTCATTCTGGTCTATGGTCATAGTGTGCAACTGGGTTTGCAAACCATACACAGATTAAAGATCCCAAGGGTCATCATTAGCCAGAATGTGAAGGGCATGTTGGGGGTCTTGACTAAAGCACCTCTAAGCTGGCTTTTTCCTGTCCACCTCTTGGTACGGAAGGCTTGACAGGGGCAAGAGGGCCTTGTTGCTTGGGGGGATGCTTGTTTGCACCTGCCCGTGCCTTGTGTCCAGTTTGTGTGGGGTCTACAGCTCCTTCTGGGCTGCCCCGAGGCCTGAAGCACTGGGAAGACAGACCCAAACCAAGTCATCAAGTGGCGAGGCTCTCCTGAGAGGCATCTCCACAGGCCTGATGGGAGATGTGGGTTCTAATGCCCTGCCCACGGCGCACCTTCCTCCCACCCTCTCCTGGGCACCACCACCACCTTTTGATCTGCTCCTGTTCCATTTTCAGCTCCTGCACCACTTCCTCAAACTGCTGCTTCTCGGCCTCCAGCACCTGGTTAAGGCGTTCAAGCTCCTGAAGAAAACCAGAGGGGAAGAGAAGAGTCATGGGCAGCCAAGTGCCCCTGAGGTCAGGAACCAGAACTCTAGTCCAGGGGCCACTCTCGGATTGCAGTATGGGGCTGGGGCATATGCAGGGGCAGACTCGGGGTTAAGACCTGGGGAGCCCTGGTCCCACCCAGCAACACACTGTTTCAACAAACCCAAAATCCATGGTGGGCCTGGCCTTATCAAACACACCAAGCATGCTGCAGCTATGCTTTAGAAAGAATCCCAGCATTGTTCCCTGTGAGTAGAGGTGATGATAATTCTAGATGTCTACTCTACATCCTCAGGCATGTTGGCTGGTTGTCAAGCCCTGGAGGGAAAAGTGGTGAGTGTATATTTCCATTAAAGATCCCTGGAGTGACATCCATTAAGGGTGGCAAAGAAAAGTCATTCCCAACCCGAAAGTCAGAAAATCAGGACTCTTCTTTTTCCCCTCAAGACATCTAGGAAGTAACCAGCCCAGGTGGCTGCAGCTTTTCCTGCGCTTGGCCAGAAGGGAACAGGAGAGCCAGAAAGCGCAGGGCAGGCCCCCAGGGCCAGACTAGACCTGTCAGGAATGCCAGCAAGCACTCACTGTATTTTTTCAGCAAGTACGTGCCCTTCCTGAGTCCTGTTTTCCTGGGCTTTACTGGCAGGTGGGGCTGCAGGGTACACTTCAAGTGAAGCTTAGCTGGAAGCAGTTTCGTGACAACTGCTTTGTCCTTCACATTTCACCCCGAGGGAGGATATTATTTCTAGCACCTCAGAGGCCAGCAGGCCCTTGCTAGGCCTCCAAGAACCAGAGAGCGAAACAGATGCTCCTGAAGATAACAGGGCAGAGCAATCATTTGATTTTTCTTATCCCTCCTCCCTGCGTTGGTCTCAGTTCTATGTGAGAAAATGCTTTTCCCCTCTAAGTCAATAACCGTGGGCCCAGGCCATACTTAGCGCTGTGCGACAGTCAGAGAAATGGGCCCTCATGAAGCAGAGCCCTCTATGGTCAAAGGCACTTGAAAGGCGCTTCGGTCTTCATCAGATACTAGAATCCGGGGATCAGTTTTCCAGCCAAGAGATGGCCTGGGCTCTGCTTGAATGGCTCTCGTGACAGAGCAGTCGGTCCCTCTTAAGACAGCTCATTTCACCCCAGAATGACCTGCTCAAAGCTCTTCCTTCTGGATTCAACCTCAGCAGGGGCCCTGCCTGAAAGCTACAAATACAGAAGCACTGAGGAAGGACCAAAGACTTTGCTGAAAGTTTTGAGGGGCTCACATGAGAGGGCTGAATCATTTATGGAGCAAAACTGACCTCCAACCCCCTCGCCAGCCACCGCTGTCCTTTGACTAGACTCTCCCGTCAGCAGCGGCCTCCCTGCCTGGGAACCTGCCGCCCTCAGCTACTGGCTCCCCTGTAGCCCTCCTTCTCAGCCATGAGGCCTGAATATGCCAGCCACCAAAGGAAGAGCCAGTGAGCAGCTCTTTAGCCAAACAAAAGACTGACAGAGCCCAAGATATAGCCAACTTCCGGACACTCTGAGTCCCTCAGGGACACACCTAAGAGGGGGCAGCCGGTTTCATCCCCCAGTTCCATCTGAGCCCAAATCTGCCTCCTCATAACTTCCAGCAGTGGGTCCGCCTTCTCCCCTTGGAGCCATAGAACAAGACTGATCCATTTTCCCTTTAAGTGTTGGGGACAACTATTCTGTCCCCAAGTCTCCTCTCTTCCAAGCCAAATAATCCCTGTTCACCATTCTTCACTGCATTATTTCTAAATCCCCCATAAAAGTAATTATGCTTTTGAAAAGAATGCAGGTCCCTGATTGGGAAGATTACAATAAAGGTTCTTCCCAGTTAATTGACAGGCTCAGTGCAATTCCAGTAAAAATCCCAATGAGATTAGATTTTTTTTATAGGTTCATTCATTCATGCCACACATATTTATTGAGTGCTTAATATGTGCCAAGCATCTGGCAGACTCTGCATTGAGGATGTGAAGATGAGCAAACCCAGACATGCCTCAGTTCTCACAGAGCTTACAGTTCAGTGCATGAATCAGAAGCTAATAAAATAAGTATTGATGTGAGAATATGGTTACAAACCAAGGCACATGATGTGCAGGACAGGGACATAGTTCTATGTAAAGCTGCCTTGGACAAGAAGGAGAGACTGATTGATGGGGTGGGGGGAGCAGGAGATTCTTGAGCCAAGGCAGGTGGATAAATAAGAGGAAAGAGCATTCCGGGAGGATCAGTATGGGCAAAGGCCCTTCGGAAACCTGCTGCCCTGAAAGAACCAGGATAGGTCCATACAGCTGGGCCCAGAATGAGAGTGAACAGGGTGCGAAGGAGGCTAGACTGCGCAGGGCCTTGGGCTATGCTGGGGATTTTGGTCTTTTCTACCTAAACAAAAACAAGCAATGAGGGTTTTGAGCAGGGAATAGGGGAAGAAGGTGGGCAAAATAACCCGACTTCCACTGTAAACAATGACTCTGGCTACAGCATGGAGAAAAGGGATGAAGAGGGACCCAAAGGAACCCAGGTGGGAGGCCACTGCATTAGTCCGTCAAGACCTAATATTGTGAACCAGAGCAGGGCAGTGAGATGGAAAGAAGTGGCTAGGCAGGTTCTAGAGCATGTGCGGGCAGTGCCATCAGAACTCAGGGGTAGAGTGGGATAGGGGATGGATGGGGAGGACAGGGTGAGGCATGACTCCTGAGTCTCCAATCTGCACAAAAAGGGATGGTGGTGAATTCCCTGAGATAGAGAGCACTAGAAGAGGAGCACTAGCTGTGCTGGAGAAGATCATGAATGGTCTCGGAAACGCTGAGTTTGCAGTATTTTTGAGAACTCTGGCTGGAGATGTGACATCAAGAGTTGGATATTAAAGAGCTGTAGCTCAGCAGAGAAAAAGGATTGCATCTGTCAGTGTGGAGTCATTTGCACACACACAGTAAATGAAGCCGGAGCTGTGGTCTAGATTGCCTTTGGATCTAGTGCAGAGAGAAGAGAGGAGGGTATTCTCTGAGATGGGCAGTACTACTTTGTAGTGTTCATGGGAGGATAACGTGAGCTAATCCATGCAAATTGTCTGCAACACAGTGCTTAATAAATGACAGATAGTATTATAAACTGAAACTGTGTGGTATCTGTTCAAGGATGGACAGCAACTTAAAGGAATGGAAAAGAGAATTCTGAAACAGATCTTGTATATGATAATGACAATGATGGATAACATTCTCTGTGAGCTTACTCTTCTCAGTACTATACATGTATTAACTCATTTAATCCTCATAACAACTCTGAAAGCGGACAATATTTTTATCCTCAGCTTACAGATGAGAAAAGCAGAGGTACATAAAAGTCAAGTAACTTGTTCAAAGTTACGCATCTCTTCGTCCCTTTCCCCACACTACAGCCAGTCAATGTTGAAGGAAGGACTCAAATGTGGGCAGTAGGGTAGAGCAAGATGGAACTGTCCATACACTGCTGGTGAGAGTGAAAACTGGTACAAACTTTCTAGAAAGCAATTTGTCAATATGCATCAGGAGTCTTAAAAGTTCTTGCCCAGACTCAGTGATTTCACCCGTTGGAATCTCTCCTCAATGACTAGACAGTAGACCAAGATTTATGTGTACAGAAATGTTCACTGTGGCATAATTTATAATAGTGAAAACAGGCTAGATGTCCAAAAACAGAAGAATGGTTAAAGGGAACATCACATAGGATGAATCAGTACATGGTCATTAAAACTGATGTTTGCAAGGAATGCAAAATGACATTAAAAATTGCTAAAGGTATAGTGGTCATGAAGGTATAATGAAAAAGTGGGCCATAAAACTGAATATCTGCTATGATCCTATTACATTGAAAAAATATATAAGAATAATAAGAATTATATATACATTAATATGTATATGATGATATACATATTTTTAAAATATTTTATTTATTTTGAGAGAGAGTGTGTGTGCACACAGGCGGGGTGGGGCAGAGTAGAGGGAGAGAATGAATCTCAACTAGTCTCCATGCTAAGTGCAGAGCCCGACATGGGGCTCGGTCTCATGACTCTGAGATCATGACCTGGGCTGAAACCACGAGTTGGACGCTTAACTAACAAAGCCACCCAGGTGCATCTAGAATAATGTATATTTTTTTTAAAGACTGAAGAAAAATAATAAAATGTTGGCAGCAGTTGTCTGTCAACTGTTGGATTGAGGACAGTTTGTTCTACAAAGAGTATGATTTCTACTGTTAATAAAAAGGCTACATATTAATAAGGACAAAGAAAGAGAATCTTCTTTCTGGTTGCTCACTTCTTTTCCTTTCATTTCACCTGTGTGACTCTTAAACTGATGTCCAGGTGTAGCCTGAGACCAATGACAGCAGAATGTATCAACCTGGAACAGCTGGAACCTTCTGTTCCTGCAGGCAAGATGATCTGAGCATTTGTAGCAACCCTGCCACATAGGTTGAGGTCAGCCGAGACCTGCTGCAGCTAAAGCCTCTGTCCACCACCTAGTGCGTGTTCTTCTGATTCCTGGGCCTGGTTAAGTTGTAGGAGTACAAGGTTAGAAAGAAGTCACCTGAAGGCAAATTCTAGCTCAATAAAAGGAAGAGATTTCAAACCACAGAGAAATAAGGCCAAGAATAGCTCCAGAGGTTGTGAGCTGCCCATCATAGGATCAGGATATCATCCATCAGGGAGGTGAGCAAAGAGCCTCATCTTGAAGTGGGAGGTTCTTTCCAACACCCAGAGTCTGTGTTCTAACCAGAAGCAGCCTGGGTGGCCAGATGCCTGCCTACTGGGCCCTGGACATTTTTGATTTCCCAGGCCAATGCTGAGCTCTCAGAGTTGGAGAGCCAGAAAAGGAAAGGTAGGCAGGCTGCCCTCCTCCAGGGGATGAGAGAGATGAGATCACAGGGAGCCAGGGACATTTGAGGAACCTGCGCCCAAAGAAGGGCATGGCTTTCCGGCCTCAGGGCATTCTCTGCTCACGTGTCAAGAGTCCCAGGTCCTCTCTTCCATGTGGAGGATGTTGTGGCCACACCACCACACAGCTCACATCGGTGTGGGCCTTACCCATCCACAAAGCACTCTGTTGCCTTCTATGTCGTTGGGCCTCACAGCAACCTGAGAGCTAGGTGGGCATAGCCATTAACTCTTACCAGAGCATCACAGATAGAGAAACTGAGGCCCAGAGAGGTTAACTTGCCCAAGACCACACAAACTCCAACCTCAGTCTCCTAGTTCCAGACCCTGAGTCTGCCTTTAGGCCAGGCTGCCCCTTAAAAACCAGAGAATCTTCATCATATCACTAGGCTCTCCTGCCCGATGCTTCCCTAAGTGGCCCAAGGCACGCCCAGACAACCTGTGCCTTGCAGTGGAGATGGGAGAGGCAGGGGACAGGTAGACCAATGGCATGGATGAGCAAGTTAGGGCAGGCCTGCTCCAGAGGCCAGAACCTGGCCACAGAGCTTTCCCTCGCGCCTGCCCACAGCAGCCTTCACCGTGGGAATCAGCTGGGCCCATGCGCATCTCATTCACATCCTGAAACACACAATCAGCGAGTTTACAGCTGACAGGCCTTGCTCCTCCGACGTGCTATGGCTTTAAGTGAGGCCTGTGAGCCGTGGGTCTCCGCTGTCCTCATTCTCTGGCTAAAGACCTAGATAGAGTGTCTAAATTTTCCTCCAGCTGACTGCTGCCCCAGATTTAGCCTCTCTGATGGATAAGGCTGTCTCTCTCCCTGCTGCTGGCCGTGTCCGTCACTCCATCCCTTCCTCTGGCTTCCGCAATTATCTGCCTTTAGGTTGCTGACCACGCACCAAAAGTCTCACTTCTCAAAATGACAGAACTATGTGAAGTAAACGCCGAGGCACTCAGGCAGGACCTGGATGACAGTATGGAGACAAGGAGGCCCAAACACCGCTGGGTGGGAGAAGGCTTGGAGCTGTCATGAAGCCAATCCTGAAATCCATGCAATCCTAATACAAATCCTCAATGGCTTTTGGGTTTTGTTTTTTTTTGTTTGTTTGTTTTGGTTTGCTTTTTCCTATTGTTGTTAATGGACAAAATGAATAAGTGGGCAAGAATATCAGATAAGATTTTGGAAGAAGAAAAATGAGGATAAATTGTCCTACCGGATGAAAATCAAGATGGGAAATTACAAGAATTGGAAATGTTCATTCATGGAGTCATCCTACATTTATCAAGCACTCATCCTAGGCCATGTGCTGTGCCGGGCCACCCCATGTTTGGGGTGCTATAGGGACTTGATGCTTCTTGACCAGAGGACCTGTCTCAGAGCCCAGTGAGGGGTGGTTGGGAAAGGTGGTTAGCAAGAGAAAAGTCACAGAGGTGGGCTTTGAGCCAAGGCTGATGGGCCCAGCCTTATAAGGACAAGGAAAAGCAACTGGGCAAAGAGAAATGGACTGAATCAGGTTCTCCTGTGGGCAAGCCACTTTGCAGCTTCAGATCTCAGGCAGTTCACGTGCAGGATGGGCCCATAATTAATAGTAACCCGATCATGATGCCAACAAACATTCAGCACATCCTATGTGCCAAGCACTTTATTTTTTAAGATCTTATTTATTTCAGAGAGAGCAAGTGCATGAGCAGGGGGGAGGGGCAGAGGGAGAGTGGAAAGCAGACTCCCCGCTGAGCAGTGGGGCTCTATCCCAGGCCCCCAGGATCATGACCTAAGCTGAAGGCAGATTCTTAACTAACCGATCCACCCAGGCATCCCTGCCAAGTACTTTATATGTAACATCTCACTTAATCTTCACAGCATCCTATTAAGATGGGTTCCATTATCTCTATTTTTCATGTAAGAATATTGATGTTCAGAGAGTTTAGGTAACTTGTCCAAGGTTACACAGCTAGAAGTGGTGAAGGTCAAACACAAACATAGGCAGCCTGGCTCCAAGTCTCTGTACTGCTATCACTACCTGACTCTGCCCTTCAGGGATGCTGATGTCCCTTCAGGACAGGCAAGGACCAATGTCACACAGAGATTCCAAATGAGGCAGATCTCAGTGGCTCACTATCCTCAAATGAAGCAAGAGTCTCCTTTTCCCTACAGGCTGCCCCAGGCTAATGCTTGGCCTTTTCGGAACTTACATTGTGTCACTTAGAGGATGAAGGAACCCCTGCAAGCATCCAACCCACTCACCCCAATAGTGCAGAAGCCCCTCTCTAGGTAACAGAAGATCACCAGTGACAAGCAGCTCATTACCTACTGATGTATACAATTTGGGGATGGCTTTCTCTAGAACATGGTTACCTACACTTTTTACTTGCGTCCCTGGGGATTGGCAAGAAGAAATCCACTTCTGACAAGAAGCCAGAACAAATCCTAAGCACTGTCACCTCATGGCTTCACCTGTCTGATGCCACCTGTGTGATTTTTCAGTGAGTTCTCTGGGTGTCTTGCTCCCCTACATGCTTCTTGAATGCCAGAAACACAGGTCAGTACACCTTGGCTGTTAAGGGGCACCCCCAAGTGGGAGACGGGGGATCGGCAGCAGTTCCTAGTACCCTCCGTGTGCCTACCTCTCTCTGCTCCCTCTGAAGACAGAGTTCTTCGGTTTCCTCCATCAGTTTGTCTGCAAAGCAAGCATGCACCCTCACAGAGAGTTCACTCCAGCGCTGGCCTGGAGGGGGCCAGTGCCTTCCAGTGACCTCCCTCACTCCCAGGATCGCCCAGGAAAACGGTCAGCCTCGCCATGCCCAGGCTGCTGGAGGGCAGAGCCAGCTCCAGGGGATAGAAGCTGCTGCACTGGCCTCAGCTGCTACACTGGCCTCAGCTGCTACCCTTTCTGGTCACTGTCCCTGCTTTGTGTGCTCACAGGACAAGGACGGCCTCATCTTCAGAAGTTCAGGTGGGTGTCTGCAGCCCCCTAGAAGTGCTCTTCTTTGTGCTGCCCCCCAGACCACCTCCCCTCTGCACTAGTGTCTGGCGGGTAGGGGAGGGTAGGTCCTGGGGGAGGCAGGGGTGTCTGCCCCAGGCAGAGGGGAATCAGTACTGGGGCCCCAAGTGTCTAAGAAAGGGGCAGGGGAGAGGATCCCAGGCAAAGCATCAAACCCCCAGTTTTCACCTTCTTTTTTCCCAAACAGAGCATGTTTGCCAGCCAGTTAGGGGCACAGGGGCCTGGAACCCTGTGGTCAGGTTTAAAGTGGGCTGGCAGGTGGGAGTTATTAGGGGCAGATCCAGAAACCTGGGGACCCCAGGCAGGATAACATCAACTCCATTTATGGGGCCCCTCCTGTGTGCCTGATGCAAATGCTGACAGCCATGTTCTCATTTCCCCTGACCACCCCGCCGCCACCACCTCTAAGAGCGAGGGACTATTCTTTTCTACATTTTAAAGATGAGGACATTGAGGCTTACAGAGGCTACACTGCCACAGCTAACAGACAACTGGCAAAGCTGGTCCAGAGCCCAAGCTCCTGGCCACCAGGTTCTCCTGCCTCCTGTCACGCCAGCCAAAAGGACACAGGTTACATGGTGAAAGCCTCTAGCTCCGGGCTGGCCCGTGGCTCCCCGGAGCCTGCTAAGCCCTGCCCCAGATTCCCCTTCCTGGGTCCTCCACCAAGCCCCGGCTATCCCCCTCGTCCCTGAAGAGCTGCCTAGGGAGCCTCAGCTTCCGGTCCTTCCCTCTAGCCAACCTAAATACTCCTGCTTCTCCTTGGCCAACTGCAGCCCCTGAGCCTCCAGGCTTTTGATCATGGCTTCTCCCAGCTGGGCATTCTTCCAAGTCCTGGGGAGGGAGGGCAGATGGGACAGAGGAGAGAAGAAGAAGAGACACAAAATCGTTACAACAGAAGGCTAGAGAAGGAGACTGGGCATGGTTTGTACCCGCCCATCCTGTCTCCTCCAGAATCCCAGCCCCATTCACTCCTGGCACCCGTGGCTCTGGGCATGACACCAGCATCGATCAGTTACAGTCCCTGGGGGCTGGCCGAGGCTGCAAAGTGGGCCACTGTGGGCCAGGCCAGCAGCACTTTTGGAGCAGGGAAGAGATTGTTTCCTGGGCTGCTCTCTCCACCATTGCATGCCACTACCTGGCACAAGGCCTGGCATTGGGCACACTCAGGGTTATTTGTTGGACTAAAAGCATGCCCCAGCTCGAATAGGCAGGTGCCAAGACAGGGGTCTACATGCAAATGAACTGTGTTGGGCTGGAGGTTTCTATGATCTGGACTCTGATTCACAAAGCACTAGGTCCAGTCTGTGCTAAGATTCACAGTGGGCCTGGGGAGGTGAGATGGGTGTCAGGAGGCAGCCAAATCCTCCTAGTGGTGCTGGATGCTCCCAAGAATTGGAGACAAGTGGTGTCCACCTCTGACTCCAGACAGGCAAAGCTCACTGTGCTCAAAGCCCACTCAGCAGACCCCTCACAGATGCTCTAACCCTGGCCTGTCCTTTCTTCCCCCAAACTAACCAACTTCCACAGCCCTGTTTGCAAGGAGGCCCAGACAGTTTTTCACCCCACTCTACTCTTTGCAGGGGTCCTCACTGGCCCCCAGGATCCCAGCGGAGAGGCAAGGAGATCAGGGTAAACCCGGCCCATAACCGTTCCCTTTCTGGACCTGCTCCCCTGCCTATGAGCACTTACACCTTCCCGGACTCCTGTAGCATCTCCAGCCACTGGGTCTGCTCAAACTCGGACTCAGCAGCCAGCAAGATGTTCCCCTGCCAGGAAGAGGAGCCACAGGTGTACCTGAGAGGAGGCCACTGCCAGGATGTCAGAGGCTGCCCACAGGGCTCCACAGGCCCTGCTCTGCCCCTCCATCATACACCCCTAGGACACTGACACCCTTCCAGACCAGGCCACTGGAGAGGTTCCCCCAGGAGGTCTGGAGGTCCCCAGAGAAGCTGGTCTGTCCTGCTGAGTCCAGGCTGAGGGGAGAGCTTTACTCACATGGAAGTCCTGGTGCGAGATTTTCATGGCATAGGGCATGCTGGGTTCTTCCTTGGCCTCCACCAGGCAGCCTCCCAGGGGGATGACACCCTGGGAAAGAACCAGAACAGGGAACCCCCACCCACCCATGTCACTCAAGGCCTCTTGGAGCCCTCAGCCAAAGCCAGGTCCTACCAAGGGCCCTAGGCTGGGAGCCAGACCAGAACTAACTCTCAGAAGGAAGAGGAAGGGTGGGGGTGGGCTCTGGGGCACAGGAGGGTTGGGGGGCAGCCCAGGAGAGGGAGGGAGTCTTGGGCCCCAAGAAGGATTTGTTCTCCAGACTCTGCTAGACTACAGTGAGAAAAGAGCCGGTCTTCTGCCCTCATGGGATGCCCTCCCCCCATTGCCTCTTGGGGCCCCTCCCCACTGTGGCCCTGTGGGGGGGTGCCTCACCTTAGGATGTATATTGAAGTATTTATTGGTTTCAAAGTTCTTTTTTTCGCTCTCAGAGTAGTAAAGAAGAAAGCTCTCTTTGATGATGAAGAACCTAGAGTGGGTGGTGGGGAAGAAGGGGCAACCAGGAGGGAAGGGGTGAGGTTTCTTGGGGCAGTAAGAAGGCCTTGGAGGTACTGCACGCACATGGAGAGCCTCTGGGGACACCAGCTCCAACTCACCCTCACTGACTCATTTTCCCCATCTGGGCAAAGGCTTCAGCTGGCCAGCTTCCCGGCACCATAGGAAGCCTGGCCCTTGCACGGGTGAGCCGCTGACGTGGGGAGCCCACAGCTGGCCTCCAGGTCTGGCCACCTCCATCCCGCCCCACTAGCACCCTTGGCACAGGGGGGCTCCTATAGTCCTTCCTCTCTGCTATCTTCAACCCCTTGAGTCATTATTTCCAGTCTCTTAGGGTCTACCACAGGAGAAGGGGGAGGAGGGAAAGAAGAAAACTTTCCCAGCATTTCTGCCTTTCAGCCTCTCTGCTCTAGGAGAACATAGAGCCTGATGAGGCCTCCCTCCTCACTAAGACATTGTACAAGATTCCAAGATGGGTCCTCTGACAAGTAATCATGAAACCAGCCATTGAACGGAACGTGGGTACCAGGCTGGCCAGGCCAGGCCTGCTGTCTACATGAGACCCTCGCATCCTCTTCTGTCTGAGTGCTCCATGTCCTCCTTTGGGACTCATGTCTAACTTAGGGTTTCTGGGACCTTGGTGCTTTCTGATTGTCATAGAGGCAACTGCCTGAGGCCAACATGTGGAGCACTTAGACCCACCCTGTGGACTCTCTAGGACTAATGACTGGAGCTGACCACAATAAGACACCAAGTACCCTCTGAGACAAGATCCAACCAGGCCTCAAAGCCCCGAGGCTCAGGGACATCCAGAGTGGCTGGCTTCTTGCTCTCAGGGCCCCTGGGAATGTCACTGGCATGGGGACAGGATCAGAGGAGCTAGAAGCCAGCTCAGATAGGCTGAGGACAGCTGGCCCTGTGACTCTCCCCCTGCCCCCCACCCCGCCCCTGCTCTGCATTCAGTAAGATGGTGTGGGTAGCTGGGTATTAGTCACAGTGGGAGCACTTACACCATGAAAACCATCAAATGCTACAAATGGGGCTCCACCCAGCGCCCCCAACCCCCCCCCACCTCCCACCTCTGAGAGAGCCCCTTGTTAGCCATTTACCAGCACACTACTCGTTGGAAATCCCCTGTTGTGAAGGGTCCAAAAAATTGCCGGGGGCACACAAAGTCAGTGAGTCTCTGAAGGGCCACCAGCCATGTGATCTTTCCTGAGGCCACAGCTGCTGGGGGAGTGTCCCCGGAACTACCCACAGCTGCCACCTCACCTCCTCCAGGAAAGAAACTCAGCTTTGTCCTAGGGTGTGAGCCTCACGCCAACCCTTGTTATTTATTTGCAGCGACCCCCTTGTTCCCGCCAGATGCTGAATGGAGCTGCAGACATCCCGCTGATGCCCCCCCCCCCCCCCCGGCCTCTCTGCCCCTGCTGGAGAAAGGACACATAAACGCCACCCTCTGCAGAGGTGCAGGGACCCCCAGCACCTGACCCCCACCTGTCCTCAGCTTTCCTGCTGCTTCTGCCCTGCAGCCCCTCTGTTCTGGGCCCACACTGAGCTCACCACTGCCCACATCACTACATTTTGCACCATCCTATAAAGGGGATTGTGCTGAACTCCCTAGAAAGCCCTCCTTGCTGCTTTTCATCTGGCCGAGCCCTTCCTTGGTGACCAGCCCAGCCCACAGAGCCATCTGAGGCTCCTCCTGCATTTGCTGACTGGGCTGTGCACTTGGCACTTAGCCCCAATATACCCATGTCTTCATCTTGTCCTGAGGGAATGCTGGGCTCCTGGGGGGGCAGGCCTGTGCCCCCTCTGATCCATAGGCCAAGGGAGATGCCCCTTGTCTGTTTCAAAGAAACGCCACACAGAGTTAAGAACACAGGTTTTGACATCAGACAGACCTGCCATTTCCCAGCTGGGGGACCTTAGGCAAGTAAGCTCACCTCGCTGAGCATCAGTTTATTTACCTGTAGAATGGAAATGATAACACCCACCTCAGAACAGTTTACCAGTTAAGAGGCTATTTACCCCGTCTCTGGTATTCTGTTACGGGAGCCTAACAAAGACAAATGCCCTCTTGCCTTCCTGGCACTTCTGAAGTTCCCTCTGCACTGAGGGTAAAGCATTGTGCCAGGGACTCGGTTGGGAAGGAGGGGTAACAGGCGGACAATCACTGGACCCATGGGCAGGGAGACAACAGGGGCTCTGGAGTCAGACAATCCCCATCCCTCACACCATGGTCTCAGGCAAGCTCCCAGCCTTGCTGAGCCTCCCTTTCAAAGCTTCTGTATGAAACAAGGGGTCAGGATTCATTGCTGAGTTCCTATCATGTGCCAGGCACTGTTCTCGGTGCTAGAGATAGAACTGTGGGCAAGGGAGACACAAATTCCTGTCCCCAGAGAGCTTACACTTGAGAGTGAGTATATGTAGTGGGGAGGCAGACAGTAAATAAATAAGAGAGAGAGTCCATGTACCAGTGCTAATAAATGCCATGGAGGAAAATAAGGCAGGATAAGTAATGGGGTGAGAGGTGGGTGGAGGAGGTTATAATATTAAACACAGTGGTCAGGGAAAGCCTGATAATGAAGGTGACATTTGAGAAGAATAGATGCTCCAGGTAGAGGAGCCACTGGTGCAAAGGCCCTGGGACAGTGGTGCGCTGGGCTCTGGGAGGAGCTGTGAGGCTTATAGCACACCTATGGCCAGGCGGAAAGCAGCAGGACCAGATCACGGTAGCGATGGGCCCACACGTCGTGTGTGCCCTTCCCAGCCTAGTTCCAGCTATGCTCAGCTTGGTTTGGGTGGGAGTGAGGGTCAAGGGAGAGCAGCTGGCATGAACCTGGGGGAGCAGAGTGGCTCCCCAGCTGGCAGGGAGGAATATCACCCAACAAAGGGCACATTTGGAAAGCACGCCTCCAGGTCCCGTAGAGCCACCATGACTCAGAAACCTGTCTCAGCGACAGCTTGCTACCCAAGCTGGTGATGCTCCCTCTCAGTGGGTGAGGGCCCAGGACCTGACTGCCCCTGCACAGAAGGACACTTCTTCCTGTCCCTTTGCTCCCGGATACTCTCATTCAGACTGCTAGCCAGGGGCCATCTCCTGTTGTGCCCTGCGGAGTTGGTGCTCGGCCAGGGCTGGAGGCACTCCCCACATGTGCTGGCTCTCTGCTAAGTGTTTTACACATACCCAAGTATTTGATTGATGCCACAATCCTGGAAGGAAGGGCTTTTGTGCCCATTTTACAGATGAGGAAACTGAGGCCGAGAGGGGGCATAGTAACATGTGCAAGGTCACACAGCTAGGGCAGAGGTGGGGCTGTGATTGGCACCCTGCAGACCACAGTCCTTGCTCCCATTTTCCACACCACACCACATGTGGGGCCGCTTCCATCCGTGCCAGCACCGAGGCAGGAAACCCCTGGGCCAGAGGCAGGAGGTACCGAGGCTGGGGCAGCCAGGGTTCAGAGCCCTGCCACTTACCAGCTGTATGGCCGGGCAAGTTATCTGATCTCTCCAGGCCTCAGGTCCAAGTGTGATTGAGGACAAACATAGCAGCTAGATCTCTTAGTGTTGTTGGGATCAGTAAACGAGTTTGTTCCCATAAAGACAGCATATTGTGACACATGGTAAATCAATAAACATTTACTTTTATTACTGCTGTTATGGTGCATTATGATTAGGTTCAGGGTCTCTGCAGCCCTGCCCTGGCCTCGGTTCCCATTAGCTCTCCCCTGGCTCCTCCTGGCAGCAGCCCAGCTAGCCAGCACCCTGTCCTCCAAGTACCAGGCACTTCCCTGCATCTGCAGCTCCCTCCTGTCTGCAGCCCACCCTTCAATCCAGGGCCAACTTCAGGCCTGGGCAGAGCTTTGTCTGTAACCCTAGGCCTCCTCCACCCCTAGCAGCCCCACTAAGCAAGACAGGGTACAGCCTAGATCCTGTGAGTGAGGGGAGAGCTCCCTCACTAACCCTAACCCTCCCCTCTCCAGCCTTAAAGAACGGTATTTGCACGTCCAGTTGCCCAGTCGCCCAGTCGAAGGAGTAGGAGCTTTTGTAAGACACTCACTTTGGTGTTCCATTGGCATTCTCTTTTTAAATCTCTCACAGCGACTCTAAGAGATGGAGGTATTTGTGTTTCTGGATCCTGGTGAGATAACGAGGCACAGGGAAATTAAGCAGCCAGTGAGTGGCGGACTTGAAGTCGGCTCGGTCCACTGACCCAGCTCGTGTTCCCGACTGCTGTGTTCTTTGATGCCTGGTCCCCCTCATCACTACGCCTGACCCTCCTGGTCACTCATGACCTGCAACTGCTGTTTGCCATCCTAGAACTCATCTCTGTAGAGTGGCAGCGAGCTCCCGGTCAGCTCAGGTCAGGGAGCATTAATGAATCCCCTGGAGACCGAGGCCAAGTCCTAAGCTGGGCTGGGGCTTGACGATTCCCTGCCTTCGAGGAGCTTAGAGTCAAATGCAGGGGAGCCAGTGTAGAAATAAATAATTCAAAAAACAGCTAATGTTTATTGAGCTCCTTCTGTGCCAGGCACTGTTCTGGTAACATCGTTATGTGTGTTAACTCATTCGCTCCTCACATGAGCTAGGGGAGGTAACTGGAGCACAGAGAAGTTAAGTAATATGCCCTAGATCACACAGCAGGTAAGTGGGGGAACCAGGATGATTATAAAGCAATGGCGTGCACTGCATCGCACCAACATTGCAAAGCACCAGCCCTCCTCACTGTGAAGCACCAGAGTACACTGACATTGTCAAGCACGCAGATACACGCTGACATTGCAAGTTTGTATGAGGCACAAGAAGAGTGCAGACCAGGGAGGAATGATGGTTTAGGTGTGAGCCAAGGGAATGCTCCGGGAGGAGGTGACAACTGAGCAGGGTTTTGAAGAGTGAATAGGAATACCTCAAGAATCTGGGAGGAAGCCAAAGGGGGAGATGCATTCCAGACAGAAGGAACAGCATATG